AGGGCCCTGTTTCCTTTGTCCGAGTTCGGAGACCCCGGCCACACATATAAACCATACGGCTCCGATTTCGGAGTCCCCGGCTGGTAGTGGTTAAGCTTCATTTTTTGCAGGATCACAAAACATAAACCAACCCCCTTTAATGGATTCAGACAGATACATGACCGAGGTGACATATATGGATGGCTATATCTTACCTGGCTGGGCAGCGGTCAGAGTCTGAGCTGCCACGGCGTCTGTTGGAGGGCCCTCGCCCACCTGCGTACCGGCCCGCACCTTGAAATAATACTTGGTGTCGCTGGCCAGGCCATTCACGGTTGAGTGGTGGGCTGTACCTGCCGGGGAGGGGGGACAACGGCAAAGGGACTGGGTGATTAAACTGGTAAGAAAGACAGCAGGATGGGTACAGCTGAAGGGATTTCAAAGGAACCAAGGCTACAGACCAAGGCAAGCCTGAGCCCTCCCAGATCCCTTCGAGTTCTCCACGTTTAGAGGTTTTGTAGGATTTTGTAGGACTGAGGATGGCAGTGCTCAATCGTCACTTTGCAATTGGGCTTGGTGACCTACAGATGCTAAGGTGCACAGAATGTGTGATTGGTTTCCTACTTGAGGCAGAGGGTATCAAAAGACCAGGGAATCTTCTTAGCAAACAACATCCAGGGAGTGTAAGACCGGTCAAACGGGGGGCGGGGGTGTTGTCTCACCATTTCGGGCCTGCTGGTTCCATTTGTCCTCTGGCTTGTTGACATCCTCATCATACAGGATGACGTAGTGGGTGATAATGCCATTGGGCTGCATGGGAGGCTGCCACTGGAGCTCTACCGCGTGGGGGGCTAAGGGCTTGGCCAGAATATCCTCTGGTGGAGTGGACGGGCCTAGGCGGAAAAACAGGACTCAAACTGTAGGCGATACCAACCTTACCACTTGTCGACGGTTTTGTTTCACGCTGCACTCACATCGGGTGCGATATTATTTTCAGCGGAAAATGCCGACTTTTTAAGCAATAATATATCACTCCCACAGTCCTTCACACTGTTGGACTTGACAAATGCTGACCTGTGGTGGTCGTTTGCATGAAACTTGTCACTGTATTGTTACTTTTTGGAAACTTTGACTAGGCAAAAGTCATTTCAAATGACAAGGAAGCAGTTACATAACATTACGCAAAGGACTTCTCTCAAAAACAAGTAATGGCTTAGAAAAACACTGCTCATACTGAAGCTTCACAGTGAAGGTTTACTAGCTTGGCTCCAATTACTATTGGGGCTATGAAAAACACCATTACGTCAATCCAACTTTTATGGGATCCTACCTGAGGAGATACAACCAACTTCTTGGGGGAACAAACATCAATGCCATCCTGGCCATGAATTTTGAAGTTAGATGGAATCAGTTAATGCAAAGCAAGCAGGCTTCAAAGAAGTTACAGCCTCAAGTGAAACCATGCATGCTCAAAGCATTACGATATAAATAAATGTCTTTGGCTAGCATTTTATTTGAACAACAGCTTGCATGCTCGCATAAAATGTTTTTGGATATTGAAGGACTGGTTGAAATTGTAAACTGTTGGGGAAACACTGCTTATGTGACTGACCCCTTTACTGTTTTGTGTCATGAACATATGGCTTGGGTTTATTAACTTGCAAATAAAAAAAATCAGCTGGTAATGGCCAGTAGGAGTCAAATTCACATGCAACTGACTTTCACCTGTTTTTGCCGTGGAATGCTTTGTTTTCATACCTCACACCATGCCAGCAATCCCAGCATAATTTAGCCACTGGAATCAAACTGACTGACTACTGACTGACTGCCACACAGAGATAGAATCCCGACATTGGTTTTCACTCTGTGAGCGCAGTTCCGTCAAAGCCTGCCACAAAATAGCGATACACCCCACGGCATTACAGAATTGCATGTTTGTTGAGCTGAACTAATCTCAAAGTAGGCCAAATGGTGGGGGTGGGGGGAGAGGAGTTGGGGTTCGACTTACGGTCTTCCAAGGTTCTGACGGCTCTAGCATCGCAGAACGGTCCGGACATCTTGGTGCTGACGGAGCAGACGTCAAATTCGTACATCGTGAAGGGGTCCAAGCCCTGGATAATCACCTGATTGATGGTGTTGTTCTTCCTGCTCACCAAATCAGACGTTAAAATAAAAGAAAAAATAAAACCTTGAGAATTTTAGAACTAGACTTTCCGAGGCAAATGCCTTTCACTTCTTGAAAAACTCGTAGAAAGTCGGACGATAAAACTACATTCAACACTGAGTAATTTTTAGCTGGGGTTAAACCATACCAGTAAAATAAAGAATGTGTTAGACGAAAGCAAAATAGGGACTTCATGTTGACCTCTGCATGCATCAAAAGGACACGTTGTAAAGCTACCGGGACAGAGACATATCACATTGATAGTTTCTTGACAGAGCATTCTAAAGAATTCAGTAAAATGCAATGAGTAATAAATCTTGAAGTTCACAAGGCAGTGAATTATATGGAGTGCTGAAATAAATACGTCACACGCACACTTCTGTGTGTAGAAAGCGACGCGTGCGCATACTCTATTCGTTTGTACAGCATCTACTGGTTCTAAATGGCGTCACACTTAAGTACTCTATACCGCCTTACATTTATATATATTACATAATATTGAATAGTAAAAACTAGCCTCCCTTGGTGATCCATGGAATATTCCATTTTCCTTCGGCTTTGCCTCGGAAGAATAAAATTCACCATGGATCACCTCGGAAGGCTAGTCTTACAGCACCATGAAATAAAGCAGTCGACATTCAGTTGCTTAGCACCTCTTTCACAGATTCTGCTTGATTTACATGATAACTGTTCCATTTGGTCTAACTAAATATAACAGTACATTTATTTGAATAAGGAATTTGTTGAAAATTTACCAGCGCTTTTCAAAACTACCTCCTCTCAAAATATTTGAACCCAGCTCTGTAGTGTTACTGGTCGCGTTTTGGAATGCATGAGACACTCATCAGCATTCATTTGCACACTATGTCAGTGGTCATGTGTACAGTCTTCGGTAGCGACAGTTACAGTGCCTTGGTTGCGACAGACGTACTTCTTTTGCTGTGTACATGATAGCTAAAGTAATGGATGCCATGCAACTAGCTCTCAGCCCATCCAGCTATCCAGAATCTGTGGATAAGATGTTCTAGATATACAATAGATACACTGTATGTGTTCCTTTCTCCTTGAGACCTGATATGCCTCTATGAATTGGTTACATGCCCTAGGCAGGACATAACTAGACCTTGCTCAAGCTCTCCCTGGTTCTACTACATAAATACCTGAAGGACCTCAATCTGGAATGTTTCCCTGGCATTCCACAACAGGAAATGCCTGGGGTGAATAAGATAGAAACGCCCTCCCCGCCGCTACCAACAATGGTACAAGCCCTCCCCCAGCCGCTCCCAACAATGGTACAAAAGTGGTGTCCAAAGGGGTGTAGGAGGAGAACTGGACAGGTAAGCTCCATGCACACCACATCCATCACTAGTCAACAAGGAAGCACCATTTGGGCCTAGACTAGCTGCTGGACTGCTGCCTGGGCCAGTACTGTCACAACTTCCCAGCATTCTTGGATGTTCAAGGGACCTTTCTAGGCACTGCCATCTTGTTTGCCTCAATCAGTCCGCATGTATCAGAACGAGTTGTACTTGACTGCACATGGAATGCTACATGCACGGATGAATATTCACGCTCTGAACTGCCTTTCGATTGAGAGGCACAGTGAAGTCCTTGTTCAAAGCCAATGCCATCCTGAGATATCAGCAATTTCCAGTGTCGATGCTCTCATAAAAATTGCCAGCATTCCAAACAGAAATTGAAAGTTACCAAAAACCCCTGCGCAACATTTGAAATTACGAAATGACGATAGGGTAAAAGTGAGAATATGAATAATTACAGGAAAAAAGTGTTGTCCCTTGGTATGGTAACAGGACACAAGGGCTAACGTCATCCAGTTCAATATTTTTTTGGTGTGGACACTTTTAATAACATCTGAGACAATCCCTGTGTTGAGCAGAGGGGACTCTCTTGAAAAATCACACAATACAGACACAGCAGTTTTCAAAACGTGTCTCCAAGTCATTAAAACCTTACTTTACGAATTGGTTTCTTTCCCACCCTGAACACACACACACACAAAGTACAGAGCAAATAATCCAATAACGGCTTGCATTGTGGGCAGCTAGCGGGAGATGTGGGGACAAGCTTTCCGTGTCCACTTAATCCCTTGGTTACTTTGTTACCGTGGGGACGGTGAATGCACAGATTAGATAAATCTTATTCATTATTTCTCCACCTTTGATATGAATGATGCATTGCATTATCAAAGAACATTTCACTCCAGCAGCTGTAGCTGAAAACAGTCATGCACTTTCTGCACTTTTACTTTTCATGAAAAATAACCTGCACTTAGAATGACAGGCTGAGGAAAATATCGGTCCAACAGGGAAGTATGAAATACCGTACGTAAATATGGCTGCATTGAAAATGCAGTGTGTACATGTACCTACATTTTACAATCAGCAAACAAATAGATCCATGTAATTTATCCATACCTGATTTGGGAACATTGACATTTAAATGGAAAGAAAATAAGACTGTCATTTTTGTTTTAAGTGCAAGATGCTGTTTGGAGGGTTAATTTCAGGCAACATTTTGCACTTGATCAGAGTCTTGAATACTGTAAACTACACCGGACAAAATTCTTAGTAACACGATGCACGCGTTATTGTGATGAATCAAGGAGTGTGATGAAGATTTACATGTACTCTGCATTGCATCTGATAGATGATGCATTATGGACAATGTCCCTCTTGGGAAGGTAAACAGTCCAAAAAGGAAGATTTCTGAAAAGGTTCAACACCTTAATTAAAATAACAATTACTTTGCTTAATCCTAAGAGCCAGGTTCTTATGAACCATCTCACAGCTGGGGGGGGGAAAGATCTTGACCCCTCGAAGAACTTAGCTGTCACATGCCCAATTGTTTTGCAACTTAGCATACATATAGACATCCATTATCAGCACATGTATCACACAGGGTTTTGATGTTATATAGTCCAGTAGAGTTCATGACCTCAACTATGTCAGCCCAGGTGCATTGAGCACGCAACGGAAAGAGTATGGATTTTTGGCAGAACTTGTCTTGGAAAAATGTGCATTGCAAGAGAACGGCAAGTGTCGAAATGACTGCAAGATTTTAATGAAAAAAGTCCACAAGACTTGGCGTGTAAAAAAAAGAAGGCACTACAACAAGACTGGAGACAATCTTGGAGATGCAGATTCTGTTTCCCTACCCATTTAGGGTTAAACTTTGTCAGGTGTCTGTGGCCGAGTCTCCTCCCCATCCCTCCGGCCACTTGTGTGACCACCTAGCCTCCCACAATTTTTGCCAATCTGCAACCGCTGCCAGGGCGATCACATCTTTTTCACGTGGTTGATTCCTGTCATAGGCTATTAAGCGTCATCATGTACCAACATGTTGCTTTGAAACATCTGTTCAATACTGTTGACTGACGAATGAAACACTTAGGCCGAGTTCGGGTGGCTTGTTCCTGTATGTTCACGAATAGCTCGATTTGTTGTTTGTGGGTCGGCTGCTCGAAAGCCGGGATCAAACAACTGGTTATCACTGGTAGTTAGTGACAAGCAACATGCAACATGGCGGTGTCCATGTAGGCTACGTTATTCAAGAATTAATGTTGGGATGGGCTGAATTCTTTTCTACATAAACAGGAACATTCATTTCTGTGTTACGGAAAGTAAATAACGTTAATTTTGCAAAACTTCCATTGTCTATGGCTTTGGAAGCCATCTCTCTACTTTTTGCAGTTGTCCAAAAATCAAAATCTCACGAGTTTTTCTGTGTGTTCCTGTAAACCCCTGACAAGGAGGTGGTGTTTGATCCTGTTCCGAGAACAGTGTTCTTGAGTCGTGTTCCCGCCGTTCGAGCGTGAGAACAAGAAACCTGTGTCAAGAACAGGCCACCCGAACTCGACCTTAAAGAGCACCTCTATGGTAAACACGTTTTCTCTGATTTCATCTGTTCAAATAATCATATGGAAGCATCCAAATCGAATGCAGTGTCATTTGTCCTCAGAGCTCAACTATAACAAGCAAAAAAGGGCTTTCTTCTGTTCATACCAAGATGCGAATTCTGAATGTAGATTGTGTCATTCGGAAAAAACAAAGAAAACGAGGGGAACATCCGCCCTGTGTTCATAGTGGATAAATCCTTGTGCATGCCAAGCAGTGCATGTAGCCATTGTTTGGTAAGCACAAGGGTTCATGCTTCCGTACTTCATTGAACAGATAAAATCAGAGAAAACATGTTTTCCTCAGAGGTACTCTTTCAGAGCAGTTACCGTTCCATCATTACTGTCAATCAAAATTGAGTCCAACAAATTTCATACAGCTTATGGCTGGAACTTGTGCAACAACACATCTGAATTCAATTTTTCCAATTCTCAGGGCCCCCGGCTCTGGATAGTACTCTTAACGTTATTGCCACATCCTGCTGACTCAGAGTGCAATCAACAACAACATCTGACATGGAAGTGTTTGGTGTGACTTGTGGCAACTTTTCCCATGAGTCCTTGGAAAGCAGCGAACATACAAACCTTGATTTGAAAAAAAAAAAAGGCAGAGGACAAAACCTCACACTTCAAAATTGTTATCATTTTTTTTTCTTGAGGCAAATAGTCAAAGGTCAAGTTGGAATACCTTGTTTTTAGATGTTGCTCTTTTCATAAGCCAGACTCAAGGTAAATTTACGTATTAAATATAGAGTAATAAGGAAATTCGGCTGCGTGAATTCCACAATCTACATCCAGATGAACACAGGCCCTGCTAATTTCGTTGAAATTCTGTACCTTCCACAGACAGAAACTGACCAACATAAACAAGATGGTGGGCCGAGTCGTGTTGGAGCCACTTGCAAGATGCAATGCCTACTATCACCTTTTCTCCTTCATCCATACAACACGAGTGCTGCTTCCTCAAAACTAAGGCCGAGTCAATTCGAATGATTCACTATGTGAATATTCGACCTTCAATTTGATGGAACATCCAAATATTTGGTCGTATCGACCAGCAGATTCTTGATGAGCAAACCATATAAAAATCAGTTGCAGTAATGCACAATTGTACATTACAATCATTACTATAGCGTTATTATAGTATCTCCAGCCACGATTTAGCGACGAACAATAATTCTTGTCCTCGTGAAATTTCTGTTCCTTTTAATTTTTTATGTGAATAATTTACCTTTTGAATTGCTGCAAGATTTCTGTCGCTTTTCATTTGAATTTGCTTGAAACAAACCTCCACAGTGCAATTTTTCTCATTTAAAACATAAGAACATTCTCCCTCTCTATTCATGAATTTTGCATTTGAATATTTAAATTTGGAAAATAACACTCAAATATTTCATAATCAATCAAATATTCGCTACAGCCCTACTTAATGCAGCTTTAGTTTTGCTTGCACGTGTTGATGTTTACTTTTTGTACAAGTGTTTGTTTTTTGGAAGGTTAATTTGATTCATTAACATAGACCTGATTTACAGCTTGCCACCTTCAAGCAAATCGCGAGTCCACAAGTTCACAAAATTTTAGGTATTTTTCATCGCTACGTTTCAGGTTAATACGATGTCCATTTGTTTACAAATGTTGTACAGTGCAACGTCTCTACACCAAGCACCACTGCACTGAACAAGCGGGTATACCAAACATGCCCTTAGGCTTCCAAATTGTCTGTGCAATTTGACTGAATATTGAAAATTGCCTGTAACTGAAATTACATTTAGGAGTGACGACAATGACTCGAAGGTTAAGGAAAGTTTTACTAGTGAAGGAACAATGACTCTCTTTGGTCGTGTGCCACTGAACTGGAAAACATGCACGAATTTAGGTGTTATTTATTTACTTTCATTTGATTTATTGCAAGCAAGTTGAAAGTGTTGGCCCAAAATATCCATGCAGAAACATTTGTCGAGCAGGCCACCACGTGCTTTGATTGGGGCTGGAGCATGGAACAGGCAGAGTGGTGACTGACATCGCCCACTTTACAGCAGCACTGTAGGGTAATGTCTACCCATCATCTCTTCTCCTTCATCCTTTACTACACACACACTGTTTTTTTCATTACATCTTGAAGTTTTGTGAGCAGGTGTTCATGTTTACTACTTGCGCAGGTGTTTACGACGAATTGATCCACAATGCAAGTTTGTTTCATCAGCATGGCACTGGTTTTGTTTGCTGACTTAAGGTTTATATCATGTGCGTATGCTTACAAAAGTTTATATGCTCCTTCATCAATATGGTCTTGGTTTTGCATGCCAGCTTCAAGCTTATCAAATAGCCCTCCATTTTTTTTTTTTTCTGAATTCCGTGTACAGTTTCATCAGTATGGCTTTGATATTGCTTGCCTACTGTCGAGCTTATGGAATACCTGCATGTTTACAAACGTTGTACTCAGAAACGGCCCAGCAAGAAGTTGGGTGTGTATATACATGTACCTGTCTAAAACCGAGATCTTTTTGGACAGACTCAAGTCGCTATCAACTGTATTTGGTTCTGCATGCACTCGTGCAAATCTGAGTCAGGGGCTAAATGCTGTGGGGCAGCATTAGACAGAGGGTCAACTGGCATTAGCCATCTGCAAAGCTGTATACTTGTACAGAGCTGCGATATTAAGCTGCGTGCAATGCCATTTTGCATCCAGAATGCTTGGTCTTGGGCAAGGTTGCACTACAACGATCAGAAAAACAGGAGAAGGCAATTCAACACTGCCCAACCGATTGTTTCTCGGGTGAAATATGCACAAAATATGCTTAACAGGGTAGGCAGGGTTGCAGATATCTTTGAGAGCAAAATGGCTTCTGATCTGAAGATGTCGCAACTCCCTCCACGTACAGCTCTAGACAGCGGGGGAGAAGGCGGGTCTTGTACTCACTCTAGGTCCAGCTGGATGGGCAGCTCCAAACGGGAGCGGTTCCCCCGTGGCCAGTAGCGCACGACGTAGCCGTTGACCAGCTGATTGGTGACTGGCGCATGCCAGGTGAGCCTCACCGACCGGGAGCTGAGGGCTTGGACTGCCAGATTAGTGGGGGCCTCCAGGAACTGGTTGGGAATGCCTGTAAGGTATAGTAGAGGAATGAGGGGACAGGTTAAGAAAGACCAGTCACTGAATACAGAGAGGTGGAACTACAATGCAATGCAGCACCTAGGCTTAACACGACTGTTTAGGAACTTTAATCAGGTCCTAAGTCAAGTAAATGCGGCTAGTGTGAGAGTGGCATAGTAGTACATTCTGGAAACAAACCCACTACTGCAAAACTGAGGTCCGGGTACCGGTACAGTAGTTACTCTTGGACTTTCTACACAAACTATGACACTTCTCGTTCTCCTCAACCCCTTTTCCTGAGTATCTTTATTGTATATGTACATTTGCTAAGCTCATCCACACAATGACTTGGTCATGCTACAAATTCATGGTCCTGGAGAGTTGCTGCATCATTATGAACTGATGTATTTTCTGTCCATACTGTCTGTGGACAGTACATCACTTCACAGTGCATCATAACTTTTGTGCCAGTTTGTGGTACAACACGGGCATCTTGTGATTCTCTGGAGAGACAAGATCACTTTTAAAGTGGTGACAGGCACTGGGCAGGTGTTCATTTCCACCTGCAGTGTACTGGTGCTCACCTGGCATAGATGCAGTTCTGACTTCCTGCACAGTGCCTTCCCCGTCTTCTGCAATGGTGTAGACCAGCAGTCGGATGATGTAGGCCGTATCTGGCTCTGTGGTGGAAGAAGCAACACGGAGCAGTGGCTGTTATTAGTCAGAGCCTCAAAGGCAACAACTGGAACTGGATGTGGCTAATGGTTTGCTGGCGTAAGGAAAGCTTGTTACCGGCCAGTAGATTGGCCGGTGACAGGTCTGCAACTGGCCAGTGGTTGGAAAGTGACTGACCAGTGTCTAGATGCCAAATGGCCAGTGGTTGGGTAATGACTGGCCGGTAGTTAGACAGTGACTGCTTAAGGGTTGGATGTTGATTGGGCAGTGTTACAACAGCATATGGCTAGTGGAGAGCGGACTTTAATAACTGGCGAGTGGCCGAAACATGATTGGTCTGTGGTTGGAAAGTGACTGGCCAGCGGCTGGCTGGCCGGCAGTTGCATACAAATTGCAAAAACCATTCTACCAAGACCACTCACCAAAAAATATACCTTCGATTGTAGGATTTAAGTGTCAGATATTTACGTCAGTTCCACAGTGATTAATCATGGACGTGTACACAGACATGTATGAGGCAGCAAGACAAGTCATGATCGAATGCTCATGTGTCACCAATTTCGTTGAAACCATTCATGGCTTTAGCTCCAGCGAGTTTCATCAGCCAACCGTAGTGAACTTGTGACCTAATTTCCTAAATGGTAACATTAGCACACATGCCTGAGAGCCATCTGTATTTGCTCACACTATCTCAGCACAGTTTTGTGTCTCCATTTAGAGTAAAATTGAAACAAGTTGAACAAACTGTTAACGTTTATGCACTAACAATTATTCTTAAAATGTTTTTTCCCCGAGGTGGTCAAACAAATTTTGCCAAAATTCTAGTGCCTAAAATAAAAGCAAGTGTTTCCATAAAGGCCTAAAATAAATTCTATATAGTTTAATAGTAGATTTACTCTAAATTTCAACTCTAAAATAAATAAATCTTGTATTCTGAGTCCCTCTTTACCATTCTTAACAGTTTGAACTGATCTATTTCAAAATACCTACATGTAAGTTACAAACTTTTGGGAACCCCCCCAAAAAAAAAAAACCAAAAAAACCAAAAAAAACCCAGCATCCTGCTGACAAAGCCAATCTTTTCAGCCGGTCCCCATATCCTCCCCATAAAATAATATTGTATGCATTTGTTTGTATGCATGTATATAAATGTATATTGGTCTCCCGTGCTCAGGGCACGGGGAGCAAGTCCAGGTCAAGGATGCTTGGCTTGGCTCGCTCCCAAGCGCCTTTCCACGAAGGGGGGAAAAATTCTGCCAAAAAAAAAAAAAAAAAAAAAAACACAACCCAAAACAAAAACAGAGAGGATGTGGAATCTGCAAAAACAAATGACCTATGTACACACAGTTCAGAAAGGGCACGAGCTGGGCGCAGGGATGAATAATGTAATTACCGGCCGATCATGACCTCAGATAAGCACTGGCTATTACATGTAATTTACATGGGCCCTAAACTGAAATAAATCCCAGCAATATTAATATTTAGAGTGTTGCAGCTGCTCCAGTATGTCGGGTTCAGTCTTGCATATTGTGTGTTCTCGTTCCTTGAAGCAAGGATGGAAAGTGATAGTTAACAAGGGATTTGTTTGGCTTGGTGGCCCATCTTAAATCTCTCGGAATCTTCCATGTGGTTCATTTTTCACAGTGGTCCAGTTTTATATACAGATGTACCCAGAAATTTGTTCCAACCTACATGTACCAACACCGATACAGTTACTTAAGCTACCATACCACAGAGATGCCGTTGTTCATTATTCATTCATGACCAAATCACACCTCAATGTACACCCATACCTGTTTTACATACAAAGTGTGGACATTCCTTTGTTCTCCTGTGGTTAAGGAAACTTGAAGAAAATGCTCCTTTTTCTCCAACTAGGAAAATTCCTACAAGCTGTATTTCTGATGATGATTTCCTGGACTGTTCCTCTTCATTTTGCCACAGATAACCTTGACCCCCAAATGCCTCTGAAACTGTTTTTCAGAGAGGGGAAACATTGTGTGGACGCGTGCAAGTCCGCACGTGCCATCACACCCTACATTATGTGGACTTTTTTGTATGGAGGTCCACACTACGTATGCCACGCCTGCACATATCAATGTGATGTTAATCATCGGTGTACAGAAATGGACAAATGTTTATATCCTTTTGTTTTTCACATATTTCATCAACTTCACTGAGATCAAAAACATTGCAACTTTGGAATGTTTTCGCATATTTCAAAAACAAAACCTTCCACGTTCAAAGTAATGAAACAGACCCGCAATGGGATACATCTACCTGTAACGAAACACCCACTTCAAACTTACAAATTGCAACTGTACCTCCAAAAATGGGCTGATACCAAGTCCCCAATAGATTTTCCAGATTGTTTCTGGCACTACCACAGAGAGAGAGACAGACAGAAGACCCCGTTTCTGACCACAACCTTGTAACTGGATACAGGGACTTTGAACAGGGGCAGAGGGTTCTAGCCACACTTGACCTCACGGAGGACGACTGCTCTGGCCACAAGCAATGTCCATCCATCCCCCCACAGTGTGGTCAACAGTCCACTCTCATGACTCCAAAACAGGCAGCAAACACTTGCCTGGATACCTGAGGCATTCCCCTCACACCTTTGATTCCAATCTAATACAATTGCCAAACAAAGGGAGGTTGTATTTGTTTTCCCACGCTCCTTAGTACAGCTTTGACCTTCCCACACACGGCCCAAAAAACACATCTACTCTCATTCAGTGATTGGTTATGACTGTTGCATTTTATGTCCCCTCATTGCATTTTTTTTTAAATGGTATTTTTTAGGAGCCTGCAAATTGTTAGAAGTTTTCTGCATGTAAAAAAAAAGCAAAATAAGATTCTTCCATTATTTTGTCCAACGTTGTTTTGCTCCATTTGCCAAGATCAAGTAAAGGATTTTCCCCAAAATATTTAATGAGGGAAATTTGCTTCACACGACAAACCCAGTCCATGATATTTAGAACAGGAGGACAGTGTGTCACTATAAACAAATGTGAAATCTGCTGAACTCAAAATATGAAAAGAAAAAAAAAGCCTTCTGAAAATGACAAGGGCAAAAGCGTGGGGAGGGAGTACAGCAACAATACTCACCCAGATAATATGGCCTTAAACTGGTCACCTTGGCCACATATTGATTATGACAGGGGCAACAAGAAAGGCCCATAGGCACGCAACTCCTCCCCACTTGGCCCTGTGCCAGAATTCAATCCCAAGACCGAGGGGGAAAAAAAAGAGGGAGAGTTGCATAGCACGTAATAATAATAAAAATTCCTGAGCCACAAGGGGACAGCGGTCAAGTGCTAGGCCAGGTCACCCAGCCTGGCCACTGCCTATAGGCTCACTGAACACAATGCAGGCAAATAGGGTAACGAGGAGTGGCAATGACAATCCCAGGCTATGTACAGCTCAGGGCCAAAGGGTACTCTGCCCGTACATCATTATATCCAAATCCTGGGTGAATAAAGGCCAGCGCGTACAAAAGATAGGTACAGTACATGTAGAAAGCTGTGGGTAGCAGCACGCTCAATTTTACAGCCCATACTGGCATTAGCATAATGGCACTCTCACAAGTCGGTGAAGAAAAACAGGGCAAACTTGAGAAGACGGGACACTATCCAGGGTTTTTAAAGAGGCCCTTAAATGAAATGGGTATTCTTTTTGTTGCTGACAATGCTTTATTTTTTGAGTTCTGAGCGTAAACATGCAACACCTTTAATGTTGGAACAGTTTCCCCCACAACTAAATTTACATTTGATAGCTTCTTCCATTTGCACTTTCTCCATCACAACCTGTGAGAAGACTACATGTAGAATGACCCAAAGCTAAGAACTGCTCTGAGTCCGGAATATTTTTCTGAGGATTGATGGAGAAAGTTACTGTATCATTGTCATGGACTGGTGATCAAGTTGAAAACATATCAGTGCAAAATTGCTCAGACAATTACATAATCTGGGACGATAAAAATGGGCGCCTCCATAAAGACATCTGTGGCGTCTTTACTCCAGAAGTTATTACTCCATCTACATTGCACATCAATTCTCTCCAATTGAAAATAACACCAATCTCTTTTCAATGAAGTCCTTTGTATAGCTCTCCCATTCCATTTCTGTTGCCACCTTTTATTTCCATGAAATGCGTGTATGTCCTCTGATCCTGTCACATACTGTGGACATTTAAACCCAAACATTGTGGACATTTAAACCCAAACATTGCAGGGTGCTTATGCTCCGTTCTGCGTTTCACCCATGGCCTTTTCCCCTCCATAATTCCACAGGTGCATCCGACTTGCAACACACGAAGCCTCAGGTCTGACTAGATTATACACAATCACTTTGGCCCCTTGTTGCTGGTAAAGGCGTTGAATTCCAGTACAAGAGGGCAGGGTATGCGCAATTCAGCAAATGCATGTATCTATGTCAAAAGACTTTTTGGCATGGAAGGTGAGAACATAAATCGAAATGAGGGGGGAAAAAACTGACCGTATTGTTTGACTTATTTACAAAGAATTTTTCTTGGGGGAAAAAAAAGAAACACACACACACAAAAAACATTACTCATGTAACCACAAAACCGCAATTGCCACTTTTGAAACTGGCTTGAGACAGTGCCCCAAAACCAGGGGGAAAAAAAACCTCGGACTTCAAATGGCACGATTCCTCATGAACTAACTACTTGCTGGGGCCAAGGTGGGCCGAGCATTATGCTAAATGTTGACATTACCCTCCCTGTCGGGAGGCTACCCCGCTCCATGGGTGTCACAGAATCCCCTTCAAATGCTGTCCCCGCAAAACACCTCCACCGGACTTAAGTGTCCCTGCCGACGGGCCCTTCAACCTGATCACAGTTTTTTTTCTTTTCATCTATTGGGGGGCATTGAATTTTCTGCACAGTGGGAGACTTCATAGCCTTAATTCTTTTCCCCCCTTTCAACTTGACCTACTGGTACAAAAAAGCCAACAGGCTGGATGGTAGGAAGGCCCTTCCC